AAACTACCTTCATAGCTGCCTCTCTGTTTCCATTAGAGGCTGATGTTAATATACTATTTGACACGTTAATGGCTTGCACTATTCCACGATCTTGCAGTCTCTCTGATATGGTTGCAGCTAACTCAACTCCTGCGTAACCGCACCCAACAACAGCTACTTTTATGGCAGAACCGTTTTTGAAATTCCTCCTCTCCAATTTGCTCAGCTTTTCGTTTACCCTCTGCAATGACATTGAAGCAGCCATGATTTAGTAAAAGAGTGGCCAATCCGGTTTGACGAAAGTATATTTTCTAAAACTCTAAAACCAAATAAAGCTTAACTAAAATCAGTTTTTATATTTCATAAACCGAAAAATCCAAATCGAACACTGGATTGGGCACCCCAAAAGTCTTACAATAGCATCTTCAAGAGTGTAGAATGGTAAAGCAAACTCCATTGCGCCGGGAACAACATCAAGTTTAGGTTCAGCACCCAAAGCAAGAACCAGCCTGGCTGTAGAAAAGAAAGAAAATGAGTCCAAATCTTCAAGTGGAACACACAGTTTCATTGTATGACGACGCACTATAAGTGTCTATAAACAAGAAGAAAGAAGCGGAATGAGTTAGTTTCCATTAAATTTGTTGGGAATGTATAGACATAGTACCAATCGTATTCTATAAGAAAACCGCTTTCGAGCAAGACGGTTCCTCCAGTAACAGAACTTCCAGACCCATTCACTCCTAAATGGTCACAAGGAAGCAATGTTTTGACTCTATCACGGAGAAATTGGATCCCCGTGTTTGTTAGCAAATCCGAGAAACGGGGAGCAATCTCCCACACATCAACTTCTGCAGATCAAAAGAGTCGGAGACCAAATCAACACACAACAGTAAGCAAAGATTAATCAAGAGAAAAAAAAAACTAACTATACCTCCAGAGAGTAGTTCATACAGCATTGGCTTGAACACAAAGCGTTCGGATTGGTCAACCAAAACCACCTGATCAATATAAGAGCGTTTAAAATGTATTCAAGAAATATGTATTTTGAAACAGATTGCTTTAACTAGAAGCTAATCGACACAACCAAAGAAATCACCTGAGGTTTCTTGTCGTCAGGCCACACAAGCGATTCTAATCTCAAAGCCGTGTACAATCCTCCAAACCCGCCACCTAAAATGCACACCCTCGGCCTCTGTAAACAGGAAAGCTTACATTCATTAAGTTAAGGAATCCGCCATGGAAACTTAGAGATCTCATACATAGTTCTACAGAGATATAAACCTTGTTATCAGGCCATGTGTAAGTCCTAGGAGCTGTTTCATTCTCAGTAATCCCAGTGTAGCCACCGTTGTTTGCAATCGCATTCGTAACATATAACATAGGAGCGTTTCTCGATGAATTCCTTAGAGAAGAGAGACTGAATCCAGAAGCTCTTGTAGCTAAGAAGGCTTTACTAGTCAATCTCTTTGCCCCATCTGAAAAAGTTTCAACATTCATCATTAGCATCACTTGCAGATTTCACCATGAATATTAATAAGATGAAAGCAGAGCATTGTTCTTTCATCGGAATCAAACAAAGAGTACAATTTTCAAACTGAAGTCAACACATCGAAAAGCCCATCTCAAAAAGATAAACTTTTTTGCATGCCCAGAGATTACTCATCTTTGACAAAATCAAGCTTTTTCAAAGTTAGATCTAACTTTTCGAATTGCCATTCAACGAATTGGAAACAAAACAGAGAGATAAGAATGGAGCAGAATAATATAAACCCAGACTGGATTGAGGAGGAGAACGATGACGTACAAGAGAAGGGTTTGAGAGAAGCTGCGGAGGAGAGAGAGGCCATTAACAGGTTTTGATATCGCAGGGAACTTTGCCGGAGATGGGAGTGAGTTATTTCAAGCGTCTCGTTTTTTTTCTTATGGATGTGTGACGATAAGAATAAGAGAAAACGCTATCTTACTGCCAAAATTTGCGGTTGTAAAATAGCGATAAACATGCGGTTGTGAACAAAGCGACGCGGTTGGTTACATTGGGTCATGTAAATGGCTTTTTGAGAGCCCATTGGGCCATTTAATTAGTGAGGTGAAGATGACATTTTATTTTGGTTCAATCACACTTCTAAACCAATTAAAAGGACCGATGGATAAAAACGGTTGAAACGAATGGTTAAGTAAACGGTTACAAGTAAAATTACGCAGTTACAAACCATATGTAAAATGACGTTTGGTTGGTTTTTGGAGTTTCGCGATTTGGCGTTTCGAATTGTTGGATGTGAAAGCCAACTTTTTTCAAATTTATTCAATTTTCGGCTGTGTAATATTTTTATTCGTTTGCTTTTTAATCTGTTTTTGAGGGAATCTAAAGAGTTTTTTTCCTGGTTATTAAAAGGTTTTTTTTATCCTTTACATATACACAAGAAAAAGAACAATCTACACTTTTCACCATACGAGTGGTTGGTCTTGGTGGCAAAGAAGAGAACTATCACTAAAAGAAATCACTTACATTTGTCGTAAAAAGGAAACTCGCATAAAAAACGTTTAACGTGGTTAGCACTTACACTTTAAACTTTTAAGATTTTCTACTATCATTTTTAACGTCGTCAAATTTTTTAACGAAACTGTTTATTATCCATTTTAAAATGATGACGTGG